GTATTATTACTCATAGAACAAGGTTGAATCAAAAACCCTAGTCACCCGCCACAACTCAACAGTCACCCTGTGCCTTTGTCGGTGTATCTATAACCATAACAACACACAAACCACAACTCAAACTGATACAAGAAAGGACTCGGTCACCCAAAACCAAGCTCTAAACCCACCCTAGCACCCTTACATGCATCCCAAGGCTCATTTTCCATCACCTAAAACCCATACAACTCAAAAACACACATTCATTTCCCCTAAAAACCCTTAAACTGTGCTAAACCAATCTCCAAAACCTTTGAACCAGCTTGAACTGACCTTAAACTCCCCAAAACTGGCTTGAACCGGCCATGAACACCTCAGAACTAAATTGAACCAAGCCATTAGCATACAAAACTGGCTTAAACAAGATTGAACTGGCTGATTTTCTGATGAACCAAACTTTCTAGAGGTGCGAACTGGTCTGACCTTCCTAAAAATAGTCCAAATTCCCACTGAATTGACCCCTAAACTGTTATTGCCCTTAATTAGTCATCCTAGATACCTTATCATAGCTTTGGTTATTTTATTCCAATTTCATTCTATTTTACCCCTAGGATAGCATATCCTAGAATCAAGTTGCTAAGTTGACTCGCTAAGTCAACTCACTGATTCTGACCATTGTGTCGAGTCAACTCACCAAGTTGACTCGCCTAAAAGTCGGCCCAACCCATTCACCTTAGGCCGACCCAACAGCCATGGCCCAAACCGCTTGACCTAGTCCAACCCACCAGGCCCAAGCCCAACTCACCAACCTAGCCCACTCAGCCCAACCTAGGCCCAACCAAGCCCAAGCTTAACCCAGCCCAACCCGGTTGAGTTGACTTGGTGAGCCGAGTCAACTCGACTAGGTCAACTCAGCATAGACTTGGATACCATTCGAGTCCATCTTCCTCACTCGGAAACCCAATTCCCCCAACCTATTTTCTGCAACAAAACCTAGAACATAAAACCCAGAAACTTTTAGCTTTATTGAACTTACCTCGATCAAACCAAAACCAAGGTTTGTAAAACTGGATTAGGCGAACCAAGCTATGGACATTAATCAGAATAAAATCGATCAAACCACTCGAAAAAATGCAAAAATCCAAATCCAACTATGCACAGACCAGTTGGCCAAACCAGAGCAAATCTCTTTCAATTTTTCGCTCTAAACTTGAAATTGGTTGAAGGCAAACACTCAATGGCCAAAGTCGCACACCAAAAGCCAAATTTCAAGCCAAAAATGGCCACTATCATCATGGTATGGGCATCCCACTATTTGGTCCATTGTTGGACCGAACATACAGGATTTGTTCTCAATCCAATTGCTCAACTTTGATTTCTTTTAATTTTATGATTCCGTATTTCAAATTCAGTCCTTGCGTCTTTTATTTCCTTCAATTTGACCCCTGACACTTTCAATTTAACCCCAAATTTCCTAATTTCTCAAATCAGCCATCCAGTCTTATAATTTTTGTAATTTCACCATTCCAGAATTACAATTTGACCCCAACTTTTTTTAATTTGAGCAATTAAGTCCCTAAATTTAATTAATAACCAAAAATAAAAAGATTTTATAAATTGGGTTGTTACAGGGCATCAAAACTTTGCTTGTGATGGCCAATCAAAAGCCAAAAGAGAGGCAAAAAGAAACAAAGACCAAGAAGAAATTTGCTCGTATTGCCTTACTTGTGGCTGCTGTTGATTAAGAGCTAAATAGAGAAGGAAGAAAGGATTGGAGGGCCAATCGGACGTAGCAACAAAGAAAAAAGACTCAAGTTAAGCTTCAATTTGTTAAAGGTAGAAGAAAAAGTACATATTGATTTCTTTATATCAAATCACCTAACTCAAGTTAGGTTAAAACTTTGAAAATATTCATTTACTTATTTTTGCTTTACATCAAATCAACAAACCAACCACCATATGTATAGATTATTTTAAACAAAAATTTAAGTATTTGTGCATTTAAAATTATTAAATATATGGAAGTAAATTGTAATTGATGGTTGGTGGCTATTAAGTTGACCCTATTTTGAATCGCATCTACAAGTGGTCCCTATTTCACAGTAATGTTTTTATTTAACTCTTGTTTAAATGGATTTTTTAGTTATCTAAATTTTTATTTTTATTTTTTAAAATTAGTCAAGAACCACTAAAACTGATCTATTTTAACCAGTTCATTGAAACCCATTTGAACACTAAACTGTGAGTCCCCACTCTCAAGCACAAACCACAGTCCGAAATTTAAGAACATTATCCGTGCCAATAAAAGTCACGGAGACCAAACATAATCCCAGCACAAACGTGGGTCAAATCTACTAACAAACAGGACCTCAATGCTCAAGGTGCCGGTGGAAATTAAAAACAGGCGGTAAAAAGGTTATTTTAGGTATATACATATCTACTGATTTTTCTCATACAATTTTACTTCCACACAGCGGATGTACAATCCACGCGATTGTATCAAAGTTTTTGTCTAATATTGTCATTTATTATTTTCTCATTTTTTCAAATTCCTTTACATTGTTTATATATATATATATATATATATATCAGCCATGACATGGCAGGTATTTCTGTAAGTTGAACACTGAAACCTTCCCTATTGCTTTTCCTTTTGTTGCTGGAAAGGTAGAGTACATACCCAACGTTGCGGAAGGCAATAGGCGGACTAAGAGGGAAGCGCCGTCAGAATTCTAGATAGTGGTCAGGAAATACAAAAAATTAAAGGAACTGCAAATATAAATTACAGCTGGCGTATCACAACTCGAAGAAAAGGAACTGGGTTGATTCGGTCTACATCAGGACGATTGCAACACTTTCATCGGCTGCCTCTCTCAATCGCTCACTCAACCAACCACAATAAGACCTAATCACCAGAAGACCGATCCCGACTCCAAGACCTTCGCCTCTCATGTTTATGAGAATGCTTGCCGTGTTTGTGTTGGCGCCTGTGGGAGCGTTCTTCCCTGTCAATAGAGCTCCTTTTCCTTCTTGGTGGTGAGGGAACCTAGAGCCAGCAACAACCCCACCCCCAAATACAATATTTATACAAAAAAAAAAAAGTCAATCACAAAAAAGAAGCCCAGGAAACTACTTTAGCAACAAGGTAATTCAAGAATACGAAACCGAACAGAAATTGCCGTCCAAAAATTTGGACAAGTGATAACAAGAGAACGCCCAAGAGAGGAGAAAAAAATGGTACACACTCCCATAATATCATAAATACTTATTTAGAAACTCAGAAATTTCTTGCAACAACATATCATGCAATCACTCAGTAGCACGAGCATTTAATAAATTTGTACGTTAAAATTAAACATTTAAGGAGAAACTCACCTGAAAGCGTGACATATAATGTCCCTCAGGAGGAGGTGGAATGCCAAGCCTCTTCAAATCGTCCAAGGGGACTGGTCTCCTGAATAAAATAGACAAAGATATTACACCAATTTCATCTTGTAAACAGAGAGATGACCTGCTAAGTCGGAGTTTACTTACAGGGCATTACCAAGCACTTAACAGAATCGACTATTCTATGCAAATAAAAGAAAGAAAATAGATGTTTGTAACTTCAAACAAAACCCAGTTGGGACCAAGATAACAATAAAAATAGGCAGTAAGACTTCACATTTTCCTTTTCCATTTAATTTAAATTCACAGAATTTTTATGTTTTAATTGAAATTATGACTTCTAATAAAGTAAAATGAGGACATATGAACTTTGAACCCATGTAACTGCAAGAAAGACTTGATTAAGAAAGCCAAAATGAGCAGTCTAAGTTCATGAACCGAAAATGGATGTTTACCATTTCATCCACACCAATGAATGAAACATGGTTTGTAAAACACATTGCACCTAAAGTTAAGAATGAAAATGGTGCAAGGAAAAAGAAACTGAATAGAAGAAAATACTTGAGGCAAAAGAAGGTAGATTTATTTAAGATAATAGTTGCTCTGCTGTCCCCCCCCCCCCCTTCTCAACCCCTCCAAAAAATACATAAATAAATAAATAAGATAATATATATTAACAATAATAATAATGAAAACTTAATTTTAGAAGAACAGGTTCAAATTGGGTAACCTAGGTTAATGAAACTTTAATCTCTCAAACATATGGAATACTGTTCTACAGGCTACCACTAACAAGGCTGCACATTAATTAGTAGGGAAAAGATTGTTAAGAAACTATAAATTTACCAAGACAATCCCAAGAGAATGAGAGGAATTGAAACCAAGAAACCTTCAATAGCTTCTGTTTGAATGTTTTCCACTGATCAAATGCAATGGTTCTTTCACTTTAGTGAACATACTCATTTCATATAAGATCGCAACTCATTAAATATGCAGTCTCTGACCATTGGTGAAAGAACTCCTATCACTGTAGGGTTTGAAGAAGTTAAATGTGACAACATTACTCATATGTGAAGAAAAGATAGTTTCCATGATTTGAACCCATGAAGCCCAAATCAGAACCAAAATTCTCCACTGAACCAAAACCCACTCTCATGAAATGATCACAGCGTAGATTATGATTCATAATGATATGCCTATTATTTTTCATAATTCAATGGTGAGCCATTATTGCATTGCAAGTCAAAGAAAAAGTTATATGTGGATGAGAGAAGGTTGAGGACCCCAATTTGTGTACAGGATAGCTAAATGTAAATCATTCCTTTACTTTTTTGCTACAAGGAAGATTTTTGGTGTCAACTATAATCTGCAGATTCTACATGCAATTTCATCCTTCAAGGGCAGATCATCCTTCAAGGCAGATCTATAAAATTATGGCCCTTGCATACTTTTGTTGTGAAAAGAGCTTGACTTCTTTGAATTTAACTATATCTAAAGTTAAACCTAACAAAAACTAAAAAGTAGACATTTTTCTAGCTTATGAATTCCCTAATTGAGCATAAAGTTATTTCAACATAGAATGCTTCATATGTACAACAACTTCAGAACTATAAGGAAATGGATGGAAAACACAATCATCCAAATAACTCAATGTAAAGTGATAGAGAAACAGAGGCATACAGGGGAGCTCGAAATGGTCTTTCTCGACCTCCAAATCGAAGCTGACCAGATTCCTTCTTACCACCAAGACCCCCTCCTGTCAACTAGAATAAGATTGAAGCTCAAAAATGATTTAAACAAGTGTCAGAGCACATGGACAGAGAAAGTTTTAACTGACCTAACCTTCTGGGTATCCATCCAGGCATCAACTGTTGTCTGTTATAATCAACTATAATTTCAGAATCATCAATAAGTGAATGGTGAGCATCCTGAAAAAAGAGTAATAAAATCATTAAGTACCTTCATTACAAGACTCATGGTCACACATAAGCCATAATGCTCCCACAATTATCACAAATATTATATTGAGCCAATGTGCATAGCATAGAAGAGAAGCAAAAATCCACTAAAAGAAAATTTCAGATTGACAGTTGCAAAGCAATGAGCAAAAACCCACACATATAAAATCAGCAATTTTATTTTAATATAACAGATTCATTATTCTCAAATCACTTGTCTTCTATTCTCGAGACTACTAAACAGTACTATGCCCAACACTCCAAGGAGTGATGCAGTCAATGAGAAGGCCATGAAGTAAATACTACAAACGATGACTCAAGGACCAATATTGTTAATTGGCAAGTTTCTAGCCTAGATCAGGTATAGCATTTTTGTGGGCTGATAAGGCAGCCATCAGAGAGTTTAGGGGTTTAGATGTTATGGGCTAAAGGACTGAGAGACAATTTGTTCTTTCTGTACTTTTGGTCTTAGGTGTAAGGGTATGTGTCATCCAATTAAATTTTGATTTAGAAGCAAGTATTTTATAATGAAGTAACTTCATTAAATACCATACATGAAGTTAAGTAGTCACCTGAGGAGGGCAGACAGCTAAGGAGCTGTTCGGTTGGGGGGATAAGGCTGATAAGGATAAAGTTATCAGCCTTATCCCCCTTTATCACATGTTCGCTTCGCGTGTAACAGGCCTATATAAAAATCCGGGCAGCAAGTTATCAGCCTACTTGGATAAAATTAATCTGGGGGTTGGCAGCGTGAGAAGCTCTCTCACGCGTGATAATTTTCTTTCAGACATTTTTGCCTCTCTGCGCGATCCATCTCCCACTGTCGCAGGCGCCTACGTGAGCAGCGCGTAGGAGCTCACGCCTGCTCACACAGGTGCCCGATCTGCGGGCGCCTGCATGAGCAGGCCCATCTGCCAGCGCATCTGTGTGCAGCCGCCGGACGCAGCACATCTGCGCGTAGCGCATCTGCTGGACGCAGCGCATCTGCGCGCAGGCCAGTCGCCGGCCAAAGAGCAGAGGGGAGGTGAAGCTTGTGAGGGAAGGGGCAATTTGGTAATTTGATTTTTTATCCGGTTTGTTATCCGGATTGTTATCAGGTTAACCGAGCGTGTGATAAATACATGATTACTGTAGGGGCAGGATAAATTTTATTCTACCTACCTTATCAGCTTATATCTTATCCCCCAAAACGAACGCCCCCTAACTGGGATTGCACTGGTTTTAACAGAAGAAAAGATTTAAGGAAGCAGGAGAGAAAAAATAAATAAATAAGGGGCAGTTGACACTCAACACTCTACTATACAGGCAGGAGCCACCACCAAGAGATATAAAGATGAAATTCTTATTAATCTAGGCACTAAGTACCAGAAGTATAGAGAAAAGAATACTTAGCATTCTTGGCTATTTCTGAAAGATTTTTGCTCACACTACCGTTTCCCTTTCTTTAGCTAAGTTTTAAACTAGGAGCCATGGAACATCACTCCAGGCACAGGAAACAGCCATTTGTGGTTTTAAATTGTGGTAAAGGACAATCAAAAAAGAAAGAACCAAGGTAATGTATTTGGACAAAAAAGAGCCATTAGTTGGGACTGTTAAGTTCTTTTCAGGTAGCAGCACATCAGTTCCACGAATTTGGATTGGTTCTGAAATGGATTTGGACCTAGAGCTGGGCCAAGGGTTCGGAGTTTTGGTTATTCTCAGATTGGGATGTTCCTGTGTCACTAATCATATAAAATCACATTCCCAGTAGTATTGTGGCCCAACTGTGTTCATTTTATTCCCCCAAAGCTTTGATTACCTAAGATTCAGCTCATTTTGCATTTTTTTTCCTAAGAAAAAATTTAAGGAAATACATAAGAAAGAAGTTTGGGAATTTTGGATTGCTAAATGTGTCGGTTTCAAACAACTCTGTACCATGTCTAGGATTGTGCATATCTTTTGTAATTCACTAGGGTGTTAGTGAATTCTTGTAACTACGGGACATGCATGTCTGCCATACTTCATGAATTTTTCATTTAGATGATTAATGAATTACAATTTTCCCTCAAAATTAAATAGGAGAAGAATTTAAAATAACCCATATTTTCATTTTAAAAGTTAGATAAGTATAGTGTACATCTTCACACCCACAGGGTCCATAAAGGCAACTATGCCCATGGTGCTCTAACCCACAATATCTAGCAATATTTTTTCTTTTTCTCTATAAATATCACCCTTTTCTTTCATTGGAGGCCAGGCTTACAAGAGTTCTCACCAACTTCTTACTGAATGGTCTTTGACAATTTGATATTGGTAAACAACAACATCAGATCAAAAATGTTACTCAATACAAAAAATAAAAATAAAAATAAAAAATAAAAATAAATAAATAAATAAACTAAGAAATAATCCAAATGGTAGCTAAGAGGCATAAATACCATGTTAAAACATGTCATATTAAAACTAATTCCGAATAAAGTTACTGAAAGGAAAAGAATAAAAAAAATTAATGTGGTCTTACAAGAGAAAAATAAATTTATCAAATTTCCAAGGAGAACAACAAAACCACATGTATGCTCTGGAGAACTTTGATATTTTACTAATAAATTTATTTATTCCTAATATTGGAGTGCATGATAATGATCCTTGTGAACAGGGTGGTTCTCAATATTGCAGTTGAAAGGTTCTTTACACAATACCCATTGCCACTACCAAGTTCACATACTTTCAATTTTAAAGCCAACAATAGCATGTTTAATAGAAAGAGTGATTCAAATTGCTTCCTAGGAGAATAAAATTAATGTCAAAGAGAGGTGGAAGCATACTAATCTTTTTCAACTAAAATATCCATACTACCTCATACGCACGTCGCATCTCTCTTTCAGTTTCAAATTCCACAAAGGCATAACCACGAGAGGCCCCAGTCACTACAAAACCAGAATTAACAAAGTTCAGCAGATGTTTCTGCATATTCAGATGAGAATTTCAAAATGGATGGCAAGTCAGATGAACATGAAAACTGTAAGCAACAACAAAACCAAGCAAAGATGTTATTAGCCATTTTTCCACTGGGCCTCATAAAAAAACTAATTTAGAACATAGTTCACAAGAGCCAGGAAAATGAATATCTGATAGCATTAAATAAATGGGACTGAATACCACGTCACTACTCTTATTGATGTTCTATGTACAATAATCAACCCAAAGAATCAAACAGAGAGAGAAGGAAAATGAGTAAAAATCTTCACAATATTTACCAAGTACAAAGAATCAAGTTCCTTTCTTTATTTGGCTTCTCACTGAAGTTGATAAACAAAACTATTGAGAGATTCTAGTCTAACAAAGCAGATCACAACTGAAAACATAGCCCATGCACTTATAGATTGAATAGAAAAGACACCAATCAAAAATGCCACTAATTGATGCAGAGAAAACATACTTGACAAATAACAGCACGTGCAAAAAGAGCCCAAAACAGTATTTATCAAGAAAATTTCAAGTTATGATGGAGAATGGTAAGAATGGTAACCATCTAATTTCCCACAAATTATGAAATACAAACAGAGAACTGAACGACCTAAAGCCTGCAAATTAAATACAACAATTTTCAATGGTTATGACGAACTAAGAGCTGTTGCCTAACTTGGTGGTACAATTATCCAAGTTCACATTGCCACTTGACAGAAAGGTTTTCTCTACTCTTCTACTGAATAAATCACTTATAAGTTCTAACTATCTGAAAGAATGTCATAGTTTTTCAGGGCCAAATGTAGATTCTACAGACCTGTAAAGTTTATTCATAACATCAAGAATTTGTAGGAGGGATGCTTTTTTTGTGTTAAAAATTAAAATACTAAAGCCACAAAGGCAGCATGTATCCAATTCAGAAAAAGGTCCTCAATACAATCCTAAAATGAAATTCAAGCTGAAAGCTACAGAATCTTGGATAAAGAGAAAATCAAGTTAAAAGTTACGCTCTAATTCATTATGATCTGGCCTCATTTTATCAAGAAGATGACATTGAAATAATGAAACAAAATCAATGAACGAATTAAAAACAAAGAACCAATATTTATAAAGCAGAAAACCGCAAGAGAAAAACAGATATACCAATATGTCTAACTAATCGCAAGTTTTTAACTTTTCCGTATTTGCTCATAGCCTGAAAAAGGGGAAAAAAATGTTACTTCCATGAACTTAAAAAATAACGCTAATAAGAGAGACCGACTGAAATTAGACCTTGCGAAGAGTCTCTTCTGTAGTGAGGTGAGAGAGACGACCCACAAACACTGTGCAATAAGGATCTCCTTTAACCTTTGGATCACCCAAAGGGTCGTCTGAAACATCAAGCTATTGGGCTTAGAAATAAAACAACCGAGAAAAATTAATAATTTAAGGAAAATATCTAGTGGAAAGTACATAGGCCAGTTTGGGAACAGAGAAGAGCTCTGTATACGGCGTTGTCATGAGGAAGGATGTCAGTGCCATCGATGCTTCCTGCTTGAATGGGATGGTATCGCTCAGCGTAGAACACTGAATTTATATTCTTATTGTTACTGCTCCCACCACTCATTTTTTTTCTCTTTAATTCTCGTCCGAAACCCTACTCCAATCTTCGCCCCCTCCTCCACTGGTTCAAAGAATCAAATGGACCATCAAATCTATTAGGCCAAATTTCCCTCTACGCGCAGCCGGCTGGAACATCGCCTTCTCTATATACGATCAGACTCGTGGAATGACCATTTGGCCACTATTTTAAATTGATGGTACATATTAGAAAGTGTAGTTTCACTGACCTCCCTCAAGGTTTGTCAAATTACTGTCTAGCCCTTTTTCTTTAGAAATACGCAGTCTCCCCCCTTGCCTTCGGTTGCCGTTAATACAATCTGTCAACACTAACTGGCTGACCGAAAGTAATACAAAATGACTATAGTACCCTTCAAAAAAAAAAAGTTGATAATTGCATTTGAGCTGGTTAGTACCTGTTCAGAATTCATGAATTAATTCAGATCAGAACTAAATTACTAATTCCAATCCATAAAGATTATAAATCGGGACTAGGACCGCTAAGAACAATTCAATTCTAGTCTCGGGCCTTCACAAATCCTGTTTTAGGCTACTTCTAGTTCATTGTTTTGAGTTCGACTGGTTTGGTTCAAGTTTAATTAAAAAAAATTAAACTATTACTTTATAAATATTTTCAAATATTACAAAAAAAAAATATATTTTTTTATTTATAAGATGTTATACTCTTGACAATAACTTCCTATCTTGCAGAATTTTCTTGGTTAATGACCATTTTTAGTTATTTTACTTGAAAACTTTTAAATTACAGTACGCTAATTTTTTCAATTCCATTTACAAGCTTTACAAATTTAAAAATATAAAAAGGTGGCAACTTTGAAATTGTGCCAATGGTCTCATTCCCACCATAGGTACTACTTTGGAAACTATGTGTGGCATTTCAACTCAAAAAATTCATTAGCTTACCTTTGCTAGTATGTTTATTATCCTTTTTATATAGTTATAGGATTATGTTAGGTTAAGTTGTAAGAAATTGTTTAATTTCTAAAAGAAAAGAATTTCTTTGAAATTTTAAATCTTTTATCTTCAATCTTAGAGAAAGGAATTTAAGTATTAAAAAGGCCTAATTGAGAGATTAGGAAAATCTAGGAAAGAGTTTTCAAAACCAAGCTAAAAAAGGAAAGAGAAGCTTTTGTAGGAAAAATTTAAAAAAGATTAGAGAATGAATAGTATTTAGTGAATTAGAAAGAAAATTTATAAAAATATATGCATGTAGATTCATTCACTTTTATTGGAAGATTACATTAATAGGGTCTTAATAAAAATCTCCTAAACATTTTGGGGCTAATTGACAAAATCTAGAATTTTTGGGGTCAAAATGTAATTAAGCAAAATTTGGGAGCCGAATTGTAATTTTTAAAATTTAAGGTCAGCCAACCATCCCACCTATACACATTTAGAAGACAAACACACACACACACAAGGCCATTTCGTGTGCCACACAGAGGAGGAAGAAGGGAGAAGGAAAGAAAGAAAAAAGAAGAAAATGGAAGTAAAACTTACAAACCAAGGTTAGTTATGAAATATTTGTATTTCTAAGTTAATCTTCTTATAATTTCTTGTTCAATTAAGTTAATATATCACATATAAATGCATAAACCTGGGTTTTCTTCCATTTTTAAGCAAAGATAAGGGTTGAAATTCATCATGGCCGAACCACCTTAGCATAGAAGCAATCTTGCTACTTTAAAAATCTAGTTGAAAATTTGTGTAGAACTCAACTTTTCTTGCATCAATTAGTGGAAATGTGGGATTATGTCTAAAATAAAGAGGGCAGAAGGTGCTTCAAATTGGAGTGGCTTCCATGTCTTTTGTTCATAGAATTGAATAGAAAGTTGAATCTTGATTGTTCTATGTATGTCATTTCATTTCCATGAAACATATGATGAGATTAGAGAACTACTTAGGGTTAGAACTTGCAACCATTAAGAGGAGATGGAATAAGGATGAAATTGAGGGAGGAAATGCCTAAATTGGGGTTAAGAAAGTGGATCAAAACCATCTAGAGGCCATTGATGCAAGCTGGAATTTTTGCAAAAATTTTGCAGGTTTAGGGAGCTTGCTGTCCAAGCTCATTTGGGATTCAAAAATGAGTTATATTAGGGCTTTAAAAGTGGATTAAGGAATGCTTCAACATAAATAAGTCACAGAATTAAAAAGAGAGTCAATTGAAAAGCATAATGCACCCTAATTCACCTAAAAACTCTAACTTAAACCTGTGAGATTGCAAGCTGTAAATTAACAAGGAAACTTTCAGGTTTGAGGGAGATGAATTGAGAGGAGACTGGCTAAAGAAAGAGCCCAAAATTTCTAAAAAGGAGGAGTTAAGTGATAGCCAAAAGAGTGGACTTGATCAAGGCAAAGCAAACCAAAATTTAACTAAGTATACATGGAGACTTGAATCATAGATTAAGAAAAAGAAAACTTCAACAATCTAATGTTTTGGTAAGTTGAATTATGTGCAATCTAAATGCTTTGGAATGAGGGTAAAATGAAGTATATGAAAAATAAATAAGAAGAATGAGAATACATGAGGATTTTGGAAAACAAAAGAATATGAGACCAAGGTTTATTAGATAATTAAAGGATATGTTTACTTTTTACCTTCAAATTACAATTGCTTGTATATGCATATATGAATAACTACATTATAGGCAAGGGAATTAAACCAACATTAGATCAAGGAATTCAACCTCTAGAGCCTCAAACTTAAACACCGTATACACTGTGAGTGGTATATTTCTAATCTTAGTTATTTTCTTAAAATATGGTTTTCTACTTGAATTATGTAGTTTTTCAAATGCCTCTATGTTGTATTAAGAAAATAGAAATAGTTCAATTATGTTATACTTTCTGCTATATGCTTGGTTTGATGATTTCACGATGGTTTGTACTTCGGCACTAGAGTACAGATGTCAGGCAACCACCAAAGTAGATGGTAGTTCTACATGCATTTTATTATATGACATATGATTGGATTGATTTGGATTTGGTAGGGGATCCTAAAGGCAGCAGATTGTGTTAGTTTAGCTGAGGGAATGGCAACAACCTTTGTTGTACGTTACACAGTGTAGTAACGCTTGTCATGTTTTCTTGATTTTCATGACTTTTATGTTTTACTATCCTAGAAGAACCATATTTGGATGTGCACATCTGCCTATACCACACACAGGGTATGCACCATAATTATTGAGGAATTCTTATACTTTATGTGATTACCAAGTGCTTTTTGTAGTTATCTAATGCCTTCAAGTATCTGTTTGTGCTATGGCCAATGTTCTTACTTAGACTTGATTTTCTTGATATTAACTTATCTGATATGTCTTGTTTTTTTATGAAAAAGTATTTTTGATTACTATAATATCAAAACTTGACTATTTCCACTAAGATTGATTATATGCCATTCATTATGACTTTTGTCTCACTTTTCCCTTCTCTTGCAAATTCATAGTTACATTAATCATTTTACTCATGTGTTGCACCTTCGTGAGTAGTGTAATCATCATAGAAGATGGGCCCAATTTCCATGGCCTATGCTGAAAGTTGTAGTTTATGTAGCACATGTATAGTAAGGTAAATGAGCAATAGTTGCACATGTACATTTTCTAGCCTATAGTATATATATGGTATTCTGATATTTGTGCATGGATTTAACTTGCTATGCATACATGCCTGTATATGCTATTTTCATGTTATGATTGCTAGGGCACGCTGCCCCGACTCCTGTGATGTTGTTATGGTAGCTAGTTATCTGACAAGCTATATATGATGTGTATTGAATGATTAAACAGGTTATACAAGTGACAAGCAAATAGCTTAGAGAGGTTACAACAACCAACGTGCTGTCAGATTTCTGCCTTAGTAGTGTGTTAGTAGTTGCCCTACTATTGCATCTAGCTCACCATCTTGGGGGCGAGCGTGATAGTTAAAGTGGTATTAAAGCAAGGTTTAGGAGATGGTCAGGGGACTGTTAGCCTTAGGGTTATGTAGTCTAGGTACTTACATTTCATTTGCATAAATTGCATGTTCTAAATCATTTAGCTTTGAAAATTATAGGCATTATGGTAGTTGCTTCGAGAGGCAAAGGTAGAGGCCGAGGCAAGCCTCAACGAGAGCAAGGGTCTAGCCCACCTATTAGGAATATAGACACATTTAGTAGCGTATCGTTTCCACTAGCAAAGGTAGGCCCTTCATAAGCACGTCTTGAGCAGCTAGGGGAGGTGCTAGGAGTGGTTTTAGAGACCTCGGCACCCCCACTGACGTCAACACTACTAGTGACTCCGATTACCTTGACACCAACTACCACTACCGTGCACCCTATAGCTCCAACTCTTGTAATTCTAGCTATTACCTTAGAGTTTGCAACGATGATCAACGATGATAGCTCAAGTAGTAGGCGTGGCTATGGTGCCTAGTGCTACCATGATAATTATACAGGCTATGAGTGCTGCGTTGGCATCTAGTTCTACCGCTCCTAGATTAAGATCTGATGAAGAAAAGATCATAGAATGAGCAAGGAAATTGGGACCTTTGGAGTTCTATAGCATGACAAATCCCCTCAAGGCACAGGAATGGATTTGAGGGATCAATCGGATCTTTGATTTGATACGCTGACCTAAGGAGCGACGAATAGAGAATGCCACCTTTTTATTTAGGGTATGGGCATTGGATTGGTGGACTGCATATAAGGCTAGGTAGTCAACAGAGCGAGTCATTAGTTGGACAGAATTTAAAGAGAAGTTCGACAGGTAGTATTTTCGTGCAATATATCAGGACCGGAAGGTAGAGAGTTCATGAATTTGAGATAGGGGAGCATGACTATTGTAGACTATGAAGCTAAGTTTATAGAGTTGTCCAAGTTTGTGCCACACCTGGTGGAGCATGAAAAGGATAAATGCAAACTATTTCTGCGTGGGCTTAAAGGACCTATTCATGATAAAGTCTAGATGTAGAGGATTCTTACATATGCTAAGATGGTAGAGGCTGCTA